AATCATATCATATTATGAACAATATTACAAATACTTCAAGGGGTACAAAAGCGAAACACCTACCGTCTTATCGGTGTTTTTATTTTTTTAGGGGGGGGAGAGGAGGGAGCCTGATTAAAAACAAAACTTTCTCTCTTATTGAAAAGAAAAAAAAACGGAGAAGTAGAAATGAGAATAAAACGGTTTTCTTTTCCCGTTCCCAAACCAAAACAAACAAAAAAACTCAATCTTATCTCTTTTTTTTTTGTTTTTTTTGTTTTTTATTTCTGCCTTCCTATCATCATTACAAACAAAAAAATTTAATCAATTATTTTTGACGCATCTTCCAACCCTGTCCCTCCACTCCACCCCCACCACACAACAAACAAAAAAAAAAAAGGGGCGGGTATGTGATTGTGTGTGTGGGGTGGGGGGTGGGTATGTGATTGTGTGTGTGGGGTGTGTGTGTGTGTGTGTGTGTGTGTGTGTGTGTGTGTGTGTGTGTGTGTGTGTGTGTGTGTGTGTTTGTGTGTGTGGGTTTGTGGATGCGTGACAACTCACCATCTCCTCGTCGCTGGCAAACGGCTGGGGCTGTTCCTCTCCAGACATGATAATGCGTCCGCGAAGATTCCGAGATCTGGGGAAAGAGAAGGGGAAAAACGGACGTGACCAAAATTGTTACGGTTACGAGGTCAGAGGGCTTGGAAACGTTATTTAAAATTAATACCTATAGAACGACAGTGACGCAGTCGGTTTACAAATTGAGGTTCCGTGCGGGGATGTCCGTCCGCACCAAAAACTATTTTGGCCCGTGCTGTAGCTCGTCCAATGAAAAGACACGCTTTTTTAACGGATGACTTGGGACAGATGGAACCGATTGTTATCGAGGTACCGTTCCCGGTCTTGTATCAGTTTGTCCCATTTACATCAATATCCGTAAGAAAATAGTTCCGCCTGACTCATATCGAGCAATATTTTATTCCGGCCTCCCAAGAAAAGTGCCCTTCCACACCAATCTGTAACGTTGGAAAAACTATTGCTCGAAAAGACAAAACGGGGTTGTCATGCGTTTAGAGGGCACTCTTCGGGAGAATTAGTGGTCCCGGCCTAATACCATAGAAATAACACTTGCAATCGGAAACACAAACGGAGGCCGATTAAAAAAGCTGGCTTGAGTTGCCAGGATGAAAATGCCACCCGATGAAGAAAAAAAAATAAGGTAGAAAATATTCGAAAATCGAACCCCCCCAAAAAAGTACTGAAGACAGCTTTTTTCTCGACCTCCATTTTTGTTTCCGACTTCAAACTCTGAGTGTTATTTCTTAGGAGTTAAGCCGGGACCACTCCTCATGAAGAATGACGTTTAGAGAACCGAGGCTAAAAGTAAATGGGATCGAAAGTTATTCGCCAAAAAATCTAGGCCTATGCTTTTGTGTCGGACGAGCTGCAGAAAATTTCCCAAAATGAAATGACGGTTCGAGGCCTCCACTTTTTAATTCAAGAATCACTCGCGTTTCTTACTCATGGAATACAGACTTCAAAGTGAACCATTAAAGAGATAAATTTATAAATTGCAATTTTATGGATCCCAGAGGGGCAGTTTGGTTAACGGTGTCAAACACCGACATTTGCTTAACATTACTGTTGAGTCTAAACTCACTAGATCTAGATCTGGGCCTACTCACTTAGCCACCCGAGCCCCCAAATTTTAATTAGTTAAAACCGTTCGGCTCACCGTGTGACATTTCCAATCAACCACTAAACAACCCTAGATCTAGCTGTACAAAGCCAAGTCCTAGCATTAAGCATTGCCATTAGTTAGTAATAATATAATAATAGGAAACTCACTTGGTTGACTAAGCGTTTGGCTCACCGAGTGATATTTCCAATCTTTTTCTAAACAACCCTAGATCTAGAAAATCTAGATCTAGATCTAGATCTTAATCTAGCTCTACAAAGTGCCCAGCTCAGAAGGATCTAGCATTGCCATTAGATCTTGATCTAGTCATTAATTATTAGTGAATGCCAATACTTGGTACAAGATTCTAGCAATAGGAAGCTTATTAGTTTTATTATTAGCATTAGAATCTAGATCTAGATCTAGATTCTAGATCTTCTAGTATTAGTAAATTAGGGTTAGGCTCACCGTGTGCTATTCCCATCGAACACTAAACAACCCTAGATTTAGCTCTACAAAGGCCAGTCCTACCCCTGAACACTGCATGCAGTGCCAGTGGTCATTAGTTAGTTATAATAAGTTAGGTCGGAGTATTAGGGACTAAGAGCTAAGAAGGAGAGGCAAGCCTAGGCCTAGATCTACAGTCTGTGTTTGGTTCTACACGATACAACATCTAGATCTACACAAGCCTACACTGCCCAGCTTTTAGCTACAAAGAAAACTACCACAGCATTCTGATCATTACCTTAGGTTCTGAATCCAGATCAACAAGGCACAGACACGTTCGCAACTGTATCTGGTTTCGCTATCGAATGAGAGACACGGCACGGCGGAAGTCAAGGA